CCGGCGACCCTTGTGGATCGGAAAATGGATGGAGGGATAGATGTTTTTATAACTTGGCACAACAGAAACAAATCCCTGCGCACACAAAAAGAATCACTCTTATGAAAACTCATTCACTGCCAGCCCAGTAAAAATTGATCTTTTGACTTGTATTTGTGCTTGTGCTGAGAAGAACAAAAAACAAACACAAAAAAAAAAAAAAAATCATGCTACGTGTCACGTCCTATGCTATTCGAGCCTGTTCCCATTGCTTTGCTGACATTGTGAGCCGAGTGAATGAAAATGCTAAATTATTTCCCCCCCCACAAAAATACACATTGCCTGTTTGTGTTTTAAGATTACGGGTTTTAGTCTGTTTGACGATATTCGTCATGAATCATTCATTCGTATCGCCAGCACCATCAAACTTTTTTTTTTTTTTTAAATCGCAATGTGGAATAGTTTGCTACTCTCCCCTAATCTGTTGCCATTTGAAGTTTTATGTTCTTCCAAGTCGCTGCCGTGCCCGTTTTTCTGCCTTGTCAGACCGAAAGATCGAAACAGTCGTTAACTTCACCTGTCTCTACTTTTGTCTTTTTTTTTTGTGTCTTCATTCATGGAGGGTGAATTAAGTAACAAGCCTATTTGGGTAAAATAAGGAGTAGAAAGTATCCACCTGTTTTCAAATACAGGGAGTGAAAATAAAAAGTTGTCATAAAATCAATAGTCAAGGAACAGACCTGAAAAATTAAATAACGAAGTATTTGTAATTCCAACAACGACAAGCCTGCAAGCGTAACAAATGTCAGAAATAAGTGTGAAAGAAAAGGACAGGGGGAGCGAGAGGTCCAGGTCAACTAATGCTAAAAGGATGACTTCTATCAACTTCAAGCTCGAGCGTGATTGTTAACGGAACAGATCAGTCCCACACAGCCTGACTTTTGTGTCGACTCGTAAGCCACTAATGCCTGATTCGTGCTCATCTTGCAAATGGCGGCGGTATCCGATCGGTCTGCCTGCCGCGTTCTCGTTCCCATTAGAAGGAACGCGGGCGCGGGTGACAGGTTCAAATAGGATTGGCACGCGGGAATCTGCCTCTTGTCAAAATGATGGCACTGAAAATGTAAAACGGCACAGAAGACAGAAAAATTGGAAGCGCTCTGTTTGACCTTGAGAGCGGCGCAGAGCAGGCGCGCGCGAGGCGGTAACGCTACCTCGCCTTCATACATACATCGTTTTCCAGCATAGGGAGACAATATTCGGAAGATAGCCAACGTGAGTAGCATTTCTTTAAAATTCAACCGCAAGACATTTTAATTAGGTCCAAGGCATTACTATATGAGTTCTCTAATTGTGCATTTATGTTTCCATTCATCACCACGAGCCCGGCATTTAATTAGTAGCCCAGGAACAAACGAGCCATTGTTCACGTCTAAATCAAATAAACCCAGATGAAAAAAAAAAAATGAGCTTGCATTTGCCCCCCAAAAATTCTAAGAACTTTCCGGATGACATCATGTGCCAGCTTTTCTTCAGTCCGTGTTTTTTTTTTAACAGGGGGGGGGGGGGGTCTCAAATGTCTACTAGCCTCTCCAAAGGGCTTTCAAAGGTTATGAGCTTATTAATTGGAAAGGGCTGAAAAAGAAACCTCTATTTACTGTGGGTAATGCGCAATTCTGTTTACCCACCTCTGCTATATTTGAGCGCCTGAAATGGGAACGCTGCGGCTCACGAGGCTCGCTTATCCCATTCACTTCTTCAACATCGAACGGCTAACACATAAAACATGTGAAAGCGCGAACCCCCCTCCGCCGCCGATGCCGAGAGAATTATTTCTCTTGATGGCGCGAGGGCCTTTTGTCCTTTTGATAACCTTGGAAGATCAGTGTCGCACTTCTGTGCCATTGTCCTTCGCCGTCTTCCTCCTCCTCCGCTGCCGCCCTCGGGATGGTCAGGGTCCAGCCTCTGCTCGCATCTCGTCAGAAGGCGCCATCTTGTCAAGAGCCCGCTTCTTCTCTGCACTCTTCTTCCCTTTCTGACAGAACTCATCAGTCCCCCTCGATGAAAAGTGTCTGCGGTGGCTTGTTTATCCCCGCGGAGGCACGTAATTTTTCAAGCCTTCCGTTTGATTCAGACCCCTTTTTAAAGTCTGAAAGGGGCGACTGTGATGGGCCAGTAAAAACAAAGACGCGCAGTAAAAATCTCCAAATGGTTCAGACGGGCAAAGAAGTCTTTTGTCTCAAGTCAAATGCTGTCGGGCGGTGTGTGTCTTCTTGTATGGGGGCAAGTGTTCATACCTCCAACACTTTGCTGTATTTTCAGCTATTTGTGGCAGGCCGGATCGCAATATCTCCCACACCATGTTCACGCTTTGGGTTCTAGTTATTGACGTGGAAAAAAAAAAAGAAATCCTATTCGTTTTTAAAGACAGTTAACCGTCATTCTAACCTCATCGCTAAAGTCGCTGAATTCAAATGCTACCAAAACACTCGTGTCCTTTTTACGTGCCATCAATATTCGGTTGAAGGTCAAAATTCCGGCTGCTGAAACATTTGGGAGAACCCATTTGCATGCGTGAGTGGGCCGAGTTGCTCCCGCGTTGCACGGCCATTGGAATATCCCGACTTAATCGGTGACGCACGGACAACGTCGTGACGCAAACAGACGTCATTTCCGCATTTTCCTTTCAACTGTCATGTGATAAACCGGATGATATTCATGTCACTCACCACATCAATAAACCAGCATGTTTCTTCCTCGCTTCAAAAGTGTGGCTCTGTGCTATGTCTGGATTTCGCCATGTTTGTGGATCCCTGCTTGTGAATATCCGTCGGGTTGTGCACCAGATGCCGCACATATCAATACTTCCTGTACTCAAAAGACAAAAGATTCCTTGAGAATGGAGCACGCGCAGAATACAAACCGATGTTCTTTTCAAAGGAAGTAACCCGATCACGTTGATATGACAATTTGGCTTCCAAAACAGGGTAACCCGGGGGGCTTAATTGGGTTTTTAAAAACCTTGAAAATGACCATATTAATGTTTACACCTGAATACCCTTGAGAAAATATCCGATTGAGTTTGAACAACTTCCAAACAGATGCTGGAAACAAAAAAATCCGAACTTTTTCTACCTGCCCCCGTTTTTCAGTGATCGCCGTCATACTTGCCGCTCCGTCCATGAACTTTGACCAACACACAACAGGCTCGAGGTAGCTGCCACTCATCATCACTCTACCGACTGCAATCTTCGACAGCTCATCAATGCTAATCTTCGCCACGCTCTACCAGTTTCACTTCAACTTTCTCATGAGTTTTCGTCGCCCGGCCGGCTCTTGCTGCCGCCATGTTAATGGATGGCGGCTGTCGGTTTGCTCTCCGCAGGGAACGTCTCCAATACATCAGTCATTCATAAGGAAAATAACATCAAACAAGTGCCAATGGCCTTGTCAGCAAAAGGACCCATCATGGAGTCATTTTATATGCGGCACCTTTGACTCTGCTCGCCTGCTCGATAAATAAGATATGGGCTCGACATTCAATTTTAGAGGAATGCACCTGAGTGATAAAGCCGAGTGATGAATCAGACTGCATTCGCACAAGGAGAGCGGCAAGAGTGATGACTGATTGCGAGACGCAGACATTTAAAATTCACCGATGTCATGCGATGATAAAGCGCGGGATGGACGCATGGTACACCCTCCCTCTCGGGGGAACCAAGCAAGTTTTTTTTGTCAGGCCTTGTTTTGCAGTCGTCGCCGCCGCCGCCGTGACTTATTCACATTCTTACTTGCTTTCATCGAACGCACGCCCCTGTCGCTATTTTCCAAAGGTGAAATTATGCTGAGCCCAGCAGGAAAGTAATGAAGGCACAGCGAGGTGGTAAGGAACTCGTGGCGAGCTTGCTTTACAGAATAAACCATTTCAGAGTTCATGAGGCGGTTGCTTGGGTGTGCTGAAAGGAGTGTGGAAAGATGCGAAATTCCACTGGGTGAAAGGAGACAAATTGGCCGGTGAGCAAATGGAGCGAGAGGATAAATCAGGTGGGAGGATTCTTCTCACAAGGTGCCTGAGTAGCTCCATCTATGGATAGAAGAGCATCTTTATCAAATTAGAATCCGCTGTTGTTTCCCCTCCTATCACATTTTGGTGTTGAAATATTAAATGATGACGTGTTCACTCTCAAAGTACAAAATACAAAGTACTTAAGAGTTTGGAGTGAAGATTTTGTTTCATTTAAATAGAAGATCACGGGCAACAACCGTCTCACACACCCCCTGAGCTATTTCACACCCTGGTCAGTAGGTGGCGGTAATGCTCCTTGTAAAGGTGACCAACCGCCGTTCAACTGTAGAAAAAAAGAATGAAAATCATCGCACCTGTACGCCAAAGCACCTGTACGCCACACACACTACAAGATCGCCGAGGGCCGTTTTCGGACTTGAATTTTGCTTGTGACAAACGTCATCCTTTTGCAGGTAAGATACGTTATTTATTTATTTTTTTTTTTGCAAAACCGCTAATATCGCCAGCAGGTTTTAGCGTCCACTAATTGAGCCGCATAGTGTCCTGAATAAAGAAGCGATGAGGTGCGCGACCCAACCTTGGACTGTGTTTTTTTTCTCTCGCTCTGTGTTTTATTGGACTGTGGTAGTTGGCACGGTTAATAGACTTTTGTCTCTGGGAGTATAGAGGTGCACTAAAACGGTCTCTGTATGTTGGTGAGTGTTGGTGCTGTTTTGTTAATTCTGAGTCAAACGTGGATGCTGTGCAGGCAGTGTCAGGCGAACCCAGAATACTCTGCATCAACGGTAATATGTGGAAAAGTTATTTTCTGTCCTTTTTGACCAAATGTGTCAGTAATCTACACACGACAATGTGAGTGACACTTGTTTTTACAATATTCTTTACAATTGCTCAGATGTACTGAAGAGCTGCTTCTCAACGTGGGCCAGAATGTTGGAGGATTGTGAAGTGTTTTAAGACTACTTTTACTGAACTATGCCCATGGTGACCCTGGACATCTTTTATTTGTTTAAAGGGAGAGAGAGAGAGAGGAAGAAAAGAAGCTGGAGCTCCAGCGATGCTTTAAAGGCCGAAGAAAACTTCACCTGACATCTTCCCTGCAAAGTAAATGATGACTATATTTCGATTTTTTTTGGGTGAAATATTACCATTATTGAATTATAACCACCACTGTAAGAAATAAAATAAAACAATTGGTTTTAAAGGTATTTTCCCACACTGGCCCAACTCTATTTACTGTACTTAGCATTGCTTTTTGCCGTGTGTTGCAGGTTGATGCAGAGTTCAACAGGGTCGTACCAAGAACCTATAGATGGACTTTTTTGATGCCCTTGGGAAAAAAAAAATACAAAGAAAGGAAGTGTGGGGCAGACCCTGAGAGTGTTGTTGCAACAAGTTGATGCTTGGGTGAGTGTTGTTTATTTTTCATGGCAAGGTGACTGTCTCCAAATAGTGATTGATGGTTTGCCTCTGTAGTTTTTGAATGCTGCATTATTTTGAGTTACATTTGTTTATCCTCCACTTTTGCAATCCAGATGTGACGGCAATGCGCACCGTGTACTCTGAGGCCTCCGTGTTCTACTTGGTGACGATCCCAGTGACTTCTGCAACACCTGCTTTGTAAGTGTTTGTATAAGCATCCTAGAATAGCATACATTGTTATGGGAAAATTAGGAAATGGAGGGAAGAAAAGAGAAGGAGAGGGGCAGAGTAGAAGAAGGGTATAATCACCCTCAAAGTCTAGCCAATTGTTCTTTGACCCATTTGGGCATTTCCTGAAAATCTCGTTAAAATCAGCACACAGCTGATTGAGTCATGTTGCAAACAAACAAACAAACCCAAAAACAAAATCTAGTCTCGTGGAGGGCTTCCCGCCATTAGCATCGCAATTTAGCTCGGCGCATATCAACGGCAGTGAATATTTTGTTCTCTTTTGAAGATCCACTGACTTCTATTCACTGCCATTGCTTGCACTGAGCGAAGCTGTGATTTTAAGAGATGAAAGCCAGCGACTGGACGTACAGTTAAAAAAAAAAGAGGCTCATGTATGTGCAGCATGGCGTCGAAGTCTTATGATAATTCCAAAGATTCGCTTTGGAAAAAAGTGGGTGCCCATCCGTGTTAATCGCTGCTCGCAGTTTTAATTAAAAATACGTTTGGATGCACTGCCTGGCCTGGGGTTGTTAGACCCGCACTCGAACGCTCTCCACATCATCACAGCGTTCCCTCAGCTGAGCAGGAAGTGAAATGCCGGGTAAAAATGGGAATTAGTGCCCGCTGGTCTGATTTATGCATCCCCCGCAAGAATCGGGGACTAATCCCAGCATCAGCTGCTCTAGCAAGCTTGTGCCGGTGGGGCGCAATCGTGCCGCTGAGATGCCGCCACAGCAGCCAAATTGGAGGCTTTGTGCTCTCACATCCAGCTATTTGCCCGAAATTATTTTGCTTTTTTTTTTTTTTGTGACCGTTTAATTGTACTGAGTGGGAAGCACATCACCACCCACCAAAACATAACCCTGTATTTATCTGGGGAATCGAACCTTTGGAGCCTTGGGCACAAACTACCGTCAGCTGACTAATGCACACTTTGTTTTGCCATTCATCATTTAATATTTCAACACCAAAATGTTCAGCCAAACCAAATTGTTTTGTCTCTTAGCTTCATGCCAACATATAATGTCAAATCATTTGCTCCTTAGCCTTTCCAGATCACCACGTTAAAACTCCAAACTTTTCCCGATTTAATAAAAAATAAAACACTGGATATTACCTTCACCAATAGCTGTCTACTACCTACGCTGATATTCATTTTTTTTTTTCCCCCTGACATTTTTCCACAAGAGCACACCCCAGCATTTAATAGCCAGTGCTTATGCCCCCACAGCAGCCTCCCTGGAGGAACATGGCGTGTGCAGGTTACTGGATTCTCAGTACCTGCGCTGTAAATAAAAACTGTCAAGAAAGCCTGCCTCCATCGTTTTTTTTTTCTATTTATCTCTTAACCCCGTAGGGCTCAGTCCCCGCCTGAGCTTTACTCACGACTGACTCCAATAGGTTCAATATCTCTTTAATTAGCTGTGCAGAAGCTACATCGCTTGTTATGCCCCCACAAATGGATCCCGATTCCAATAGTGAGCAGCGGCTGATTGCGGTCTAAAGAAATTAAGGTGTCATGCAGCTTGCGCCAAGCTGGGCCCGGCGGCGTCCACAATGCCACTTTTCAAGAATCGATTTGCCATTTTCAGGGGCTAAAATATCAAATGAAGTCGATTCCCAGTGAGGTATTGAATAAGGGCAAGCCAGAAATAAAATTGTTGTTTAATTCAAATGAAGCAAATGGCTCCTTTCATTCGTGTGTGTGTGTGTGGTAATGGTCTTAGTCTGACGCTTACTGCGTATATTGGTAATGTGTCTAGCTCCACGCATCCACGCTGCATCCCCAGTGAAGTAAAAGGCCCATTTTATAGATTTCGGCTTTGTCTTGGACCTTCCCCGCTATCATTCTCGACATAATAAAACACCAAACAGTCCATTTTGAGACCGTCTAATTAGTCTACGGGAGCAGAACTGAACATGAATGAACATTTGCGTTGTTTCTGGGGGATCTCCCTCATTCCGTGGCCCTCACTGACCGCGTTTGAATTCCGAACCTGCCCTCGCCAGCTCAACGTTTAATGTAGCGCACTGCCATGAAGCGGCCTGTGATTCCTCACACAAGCAGCACAAATCTCAACCAGGTTGTTTATTTTACCTCAAAAGAGCATCATTGATCTATGTAGTCTGTAGCTTGTAATCCCCAGGGCCAAATGTTGCACACCATTCCCAGCTTTCTGCTATTCCCCATAACGGCGTCGCCGTTCCATCAAAGCAGAGCAAAGTGAATCGAGCGCATGAATGTTTGCCGTCGAGGCACTGACATGACGTGAATTGTCTCCGTCAAACAGAGACGGGTGATCAACTACATTTTCTACTGGGCGCTGATAAATTGCCGTTCATCAAGGAACTCTGTGATGATGACCACATGGGGGGGTCGGAGGGCTACATGCCAGGAAACATTCCAACTCCTCTTGTCTCACGAGGATCGGGATGAGCCTCTGAGGCCACCACTTCAATAAACTCCCTCCCATCATGTCCTACAATAAGCATTTATCAGCTTGTTTTCTCGTCTAATGACCGGCTGTCGAATTGCATCATCTCCTCCATACATCACTTTCTGTTCTTGTTGTATCCGCCCCTCCCACTACCACAACACTCTGCGGCGAGAGGAAGACCGTACAGCTAAAGATGTGCCTCTAAAGTTGCAGGAATTCATTCTTCCTCGGAGCACATCTGTGATGATGGTCAGCCGGCACGGTCGTGCCGGCGGCTAGTTTGTGATGTCATCACTCATTTGTGAAGTAAGAGGAATCGCTAAAAGGGATCATCAGGCGAGCAAATAATTAACTTTCTGGAAATCAGTTGATTTGATCCCTAAATGTCAATCAATGCCTTTTACTTTTTCTCCTTTTTCTCTCGTGGAATTCTATTTTAATGCCATATTTCCCAACCCTCGTGTCAATAGATTGGATATACTGTAGACATTAAATTGACATCGAGCACTGGAATCAGCAGCGTAAATGCATCCAATGAGAAAGTGAGGACAGCAAAAGCGTGTTTTGTGTCTGCTGCCGGGGGAGTTTGTGAAACGGGACAAAATGTCTTCTAAAATCCAGTCAAAATAGACGGGCAGAGGCGGAAAAAGGTCCTCGAGGGGGGTCATCTGCTTCGCTAAAAACTTTATGGAGAGTCAGAATGTCTCGGATCCAAACATCGTGCTCTCGTCTAACAGGAGACGCATCTCCAACTCCCGCTGTCGTTCCAACCCGGGCCAGCAGGAGCACTCATTTTCCACAGCGTCATTAATCTTACTTTTCCTCCGCCTGTCCTCCTACTCTCTCATGGCAGTCTCCCCTGGGCGCTCATTTAGCTCCCCTTACTGTACACAGCGCACAGTTTCACACATGCACTCCGATGCCCTCCATATGTATTTTGCACTTTCTCCTTCCCACCCCCCCCCCCCCCCCCAAGCACAAGGATTAGTGAGAGCAGAACTGAACATGAATGAACATTTGCGTTGTTTCTGGGGGATCTCCCTCATTCCGTGGCCCTCACTGACCGCGTTTGAATTCCGAACCTGCCCTCGCCAGCTCAACGTTTAATGTAGCGCACTGCCATGAAGCGGCCTGTGATTCCTCACACAAGCAGCACAAATCTCAACCAGGTTGTTTATTTTACCTCAAAAGAGCATCATTGATCTATGTAGTCTGTAGCTTGTAATCCCCAGGGCCAAATGTTGCACACCATTCCCAGCTTTCTGCTATTCCCCATAACGGCGTCGCCGTTCCATCAAAGCAGAGCAAAGTGAATCGAGCGCATGAATGTTTGCCGTCGAGGCACTGACATGACGTGAATTGTCTCCGTCAAACAGAGACGGGTGATCAACTACATTTTCTACTGGGCGCTGATAAATTGCCGTTCATCAAGGAACTCTGTGATGATGACCACATGGGGGGGTCGGAGGGCTACATGCCAGGAAACATTCCAACTCCTCTTGTCTCACGAGGATCGGGATGAGCCTCTGAGGCCACCACTTCAATAAACTCCCTCCCATCATGTCCTACAATAAGCATTTATCAGCTTGTTTTCTCGTCTAATGACCGGCTGTCGAATTGCATCATCTCCTCCATACATCACTTTCTGTTCTTGTTGTATCCGCCCCTCCCACTACCACAACACTCTGCGGCGAGAGGAAGACCGTACAGCTAAAGATGTGCCTCTAAAGTTGCAGGAATTCATTCTTCCTCGGAGCACATCTGTGATGATGGTCAGCCGGCACGGTCGTGCCGGCGGCTAGTTTGTGATGTCATCACTCATTTGTGAAGTAAGAGGAATCGCTAAAAGGGATCATCAGGCGAGCAAATAATTAACTTTCTGGAAATCAGTTGATTTGATCCCTAAATGTCAATCAATGCCTTTTACTTTTTCTCCTTTTTCTCTCGTGGAATTCTATTTTAATGCCCTATTTCCAAACCCTCGTGTCAATAGATTGGATATACTGTAGACATTAAATTGACATCGAGCACTGGAATCAGCAGCGTAAATGCATCCAATGAGAAAGTGAGGACAGCAAAAGCGTGTTTTGTGTCTGCTGCCGGGGGAGTTTGTGAAACGGGACAAAATGTCTTCTAAAATCCAGTCAAAATAGACGGGCAGAGGCGGAAAAAGGTCCTCGAGGGGGGTCATCTGCTTCGCTAAAAACTTTATGGAGAG